CCTCTAGCTGCATCACAAGGCATCCGGTCGCTGTCCGAAGTGCCGTGCGCTGACGGGAGCTGCATAATTTAGAACCGGCCGGCCAATTGCCTTGTATGTTGCCAGCAACGTTCCTTTGTCTTTGCCCCAAGTTCTGCCGGCCAACGACTTGAGGACATTGTTGCGGATCTGTACTCTGTTGACAGGCGCCGAGAAGGAGAGCAAACTGTCGAAGGTGACTCAGAGGGTTTTGGGTTATTCCCCGTCGGTATTGGTTCAGATGTAGCCCCATTGTCGTACAACGTTAGATCGCCGAAGCAACAGCCCATGGTCGGATAAAACCCAAGTCATTCTAGTACGTAGAACCGGCTGTCGTGGAAATGATATTTTACAAATAGCTTGCCTGGTGTATTGGGTAAAATTTCTGTGAGTTTCTTAAGAGTAATGTGAGAATTTTACCGCATTCTACAGAAAATTTTTGGCTACGTGTACATACGTTTTTTGTAGCTATCATTTATCCCCTTTAAACAATTTCTGAGTGCTCAGAACTTATTAGTTTATTAGTTAGGTTTCTTTATAAATGTGATTATGAGACAAGTTAACCAGACTGACTCATTTCGGACTCTTTTGGTATCATAAATTCTGAGTTGAACGAAAGTAGCAAAGTTCACGTTGAAGCAAAAGTCTATTAATAATCAGAATTATAAATTTGTTTTTGAGCCGCAGAAAAGCGTCATATTTTGCCTCTAATATGAATCCTAACTTGGACTCGTATTGGCGTGCCCTTCTAAGAAGGGAATACGCTCTGTTCTGACTATTTTTTCACCACACAAAGGGGGTTACAACTCAGAATTCTGAGACTTTTTTGGCTCTAAAATGAGTCCGAAAGTAATTTACGAAGTAATTTGTGATTTTGTTTGAGATGTGAGATTTAAAAACGAAATGTAAATGTATGGTAAATTGTTCTGGTAGGGTCCTTTTTTCAATTATTTATATTTTCATTTATTTTCAAGCTTCAAGAGAAATAAAATTAGTTGTTGTAAGGTAAATAAATAGAATATACAAAGGGTAACACAATTGTACATATCTCTAGCTTAGAGTGAAATATTGCTAAGTCAACTTTATATGAAACAAGTAATTTTTAGCAAAAAAAAAAACCGACTTCAACTCTCATATAAAAAACAATATATATATATATATCTCATGATCCACAGATCGGATCTTAACCAGATTAGTATGGGACCACCTCTGAGACACTACCTTTCCGATGCAATTATCGAAATCGGTTGACGTGGTCCAAAGTTATGCGGTAACATACATAAAAAAACAAAAAAAAAAAAACAAAGATTCCGACGAACTGATAACCTCCTCCTTTTTTGGAAGTCGGTTAAAAATAGTTTTTGATGCAGGAAGCAAGGAAAATTTAAAATGCATCGTTTCTGAAAGGATCTAACCTAACTACTTGTTTTATTTCTACCCGTTTTATTCCGTGATGTGCAAAATTGCTAAGTCCAAAGTAGTCACAGAAAATTTGATAATTCCAAAAAAAATATGAATATTTTTTAACGCTATCGAATTCGATTTGTATTTTTTTTCAAGGTAAGAAATTACTATTATTATTTTTAATTATTTATGTACATAAGTATGTACAGTGCCGAACAGAAGTATTGGCACAGTGAATTTTTCGCAATATATGCAAAGTTCTTTATTCTAATTTATTTTCGATAATTTTTTGTAAAAATATTGTTCATTCTACACCAGAAAACATAATAATAAAATCTATAAACTTTGTGCAAAACTCAGGAAAATTCATTAAATTTGCACACTTATTTGCAACTTTTTATTCAGATTTTTTAGAAAAATTCTAAGTATGCAGTTTTATAGCCCATTAAAATTTAGAATAACAAAGTGCAAGTTTGAAGTCGCTAGAAAATCGCATTGATTTTTGACATTTTTTTTTCACGCAAGTTCTTCCATACAATGCCCTATTTTAAATTTAGATTGAAAAACGAAAGTTTCCTGAGATAGGGCGTTTTTCAATCAATTTCTGGAATAGGGCGATTTTGAAAAGTTTTCTGAGATAGGGCGTTTTCGAACTGGCTGCCGGGATAGGTTGATCTTCAACTCATACATACAAATTTCATTTATTTTTATTTGATCTTCAACAAAATAATAAACCCAAAAAACCCAAAAGTGTTTAATGTCGTGTTTTTAGTTATTTACTCCGAGTCATATTAAATCTGTCGCTTTGCATCAGACTTTGCCTGAAAGCGCATAACGCAAAAGGTATGTCACAGATAAACGCCGCAAAATCACTTTCGCTTTGTTGCATATAAAAGGATGGAAAATTATCGTTATAAGTAGGTATCGATACTTTCGGCTTACTCATATGAGTAGTATCGAAATAACGATTTGAGTAAACTCATTTAAGTAGGTATCGATACTTTGATGGTATCGGAACGTCCCTAGTCCCTTATGGTTTTAATAGTGACTCCGAAGACTCTTTTGTGCTGCCGAACAAAACAAGGAAACACATGAAGAGAGTATAAAAAAACTTTAAGTTTGTTTTCGGAAAAAATAAAAAATTAAGAGAAAATGGCAAAAGTTATTATGGAAAACCAAAAGGTGATAGTTCTTGGAACTATGAAAAAGTAAAACAGCCACGAACCATGAAAGAAAGATGTCGGTGTTTAAAAAGTAGTTATGGTACAACAATGAAATGTTTAGAGGCGAGTGAGGAAAATAGTCAAACGATTTTCAAAGAATTCTGGCGCATGATTGGCACCAAAATAAATGTATGTAAACACTTTGCTCGATATTGATAAACTGTCACGGTCCCGAAATAGAAAAGACACGTCTGAATCAAGAAGAAAAATTCTTTGATATTTCAATTTAAATTGGACAATAAAACCGTTCGTGTGTGTAAAATCTTCTTTATAAACACATTAAATATTGGCAGAGGATCGGTTAACAATTAGTTAAATAAGAAGAAGAAGAATCGAAATCAGAATTCTGTTGAAGAAAGGAAATGCCTTAATTAGTTTTTCGGTTCTCTCCCTGTAATGGGGTCTCATTATTGCCGATCCGCCACTACCCTTTTGCTAGAATATCACTCCAAAAACAAGTTTATGACATTTATCTTAGGGATTGGTACAATGCCCATAAGGTGAAGCCATTTTGATTTTAGAGCAACTCAGATCATGAATCTCATGAAACACTTTTCAGGCAGAAATTCTTAAGATACCCTGCAGTGAAACCCCAAACTAGTCAGGAAAAATACTAGTTAGTATACAACTAGAATTTCCTGACTGAAACCGAACTAGTTCGAAAATGGCCAGACTTGTACCAAGTACAAAACGATTTATTCATGCCCTGTTTTAATTGACTTCAACAGTTTAATACAACAGAGAGCACAAAATATTATAACTTTTATTTGGGTATATTGTAAACCGTTAAAGCGAGTGCGTACTCACAATTATACCATATCTGTTAAATAATGATTAATATTTATAATGATTATTAATTAAAGCATGTTTTTATGAATAACCGTTTAATGATTAAATACCTATACTAGTAACTTTTTAATGATTAATAAGTAATTACTTAAACAAATTTTTTAATTAATCCGTTAATTTTAATAATATTATTGTTTTGTTATTTTTGATCATTTTCAATTATTTTTTTAATTACACAATTAATATAATTATTTGATTAATTTCAATTATCAATCAACAAGCCCAAAGTATAGACAAAAATTAAGAATATTTAATAACTGCTCGAAATATTTATTTATTTTATTCTTATCCAAATCTCAAATTTTAAACATTAATTATTACTTTTAAAAAATTTTAAAAAGAAAGTTGATGAATTTAATTTATTTTTATGAAAACTTTTATTTTTGTTTTAGTTAACTCAAAAATGAACTAAAGTATTCGTTTCATTTTTAACTAAAATGTTTTTTCCCCTCATTCAATATTATTAGAGAAGATAAAAATATAGTATCTATTATTTATTTATTTATCTTCCTGTGAATGCCGAAGTTGTTGGAATAGAGAGTAGAAATGAAATAATTTTAAGTATATTTCTTAATTCTTTGTCAGTTATGTTACCTTTTTTGATAATAAACTTTTTTGAGTTTCACAATTACATTTTACTTTAAAGAATATTTCATTTGGTAATTTAATTAATTAATTTCTTTTGCTAAGTTTTCAAAGCTTATTGCTTAATGTCATACGCACAGGAGAAGAAAGCCGAAGATAATGTTATATTCTCCCTGTAAAAAATCAGAAGTTTCTGCAATAGGTTGCATTTACATAATTCCAAAACCTCTTTGTCATCTCAAGAGAAGTTTGGGAGAATCTCCCGCATAGCTATAGTATATATATATATCTATAGTATCTTGTTTCTGAAGCAAAGAAGCCTAGAAAGGCAACGCACCATTTTTTTTTTTCAAAAACCTAAATAAACATAAATTTTGTTTATAGTTAAAAACGCAGATGTAAGATTTAACATTTAAGAAATAGATAGTACGACACAAGAATGATAGAATACAAGATTGCGCCAATCGAGCTAAGAGCAACTAGATGTGACGTCACATTATTGAGAATGAGAGTGTAAAGAATAATTTTGAATAAGAAGAGTAAGAAGTGAACGAGGGGTGCAAAACTAGGTTGAATTATACCTACTCTTCAGCTTCTAAAATTTGAACGTACATTCGGTACAATTACATTATTTCAGGTACATTTGGGACGTAGTTAAATATTGTTTCGTGTAAGTCCAAAAGTTGTTGGAAGAGAAGGAAGATGTAGGCCACCAACTACCAAAATATATGCACATAGCAGTACATTTTTACTGCTTAGGTACGTGTATCTACTTTTAGGTACAGCTTTTCAGCAAATAGGTACAATATAAACATTTAATATTCAGCACTAGTGCGAAAAAATAATAAAGTGACGTCTGCGAAAGGGTGGAAGCTATTGATGTATATTAAAATATTCCTTTTTCAATTGAAAAAAAAAATATTTTCTTAAAACGAATTTTATTAAAACCACAGTACATTGTAGCTACATAAACATTTACTCAAACTTTAGCAATATGTGAATCTAGTTGTTTCGAGTTTAAAACATATTTCCGGATATTTAAATATCTCTGAAAGTTTCCATTTCAATACTAACTAGTTATAAACCATTCATATTTAAAGAACAACAATATATAATTTCATAATCACATCGTGTATAGAATGAAATTTGCATCACCTAAAGTAGTTTTCGTATAATGGTTATAATAAATTATAGAAGCAAAGCAGCCCGAAACCAAAAACTATCATCTTCATCATCATCATCACCGTTATCAATAACTTCTCCAGTGCCATCAGGTAGATCAGTGTCATCCACCTCAGTTTCACTGGCATCAATTACATTCTGTACATAGTCTTCCAATTCCTTATCGGTAGGATTATCAATTTCCTCTGATGATTTCTCGTATGGTAGTTGAAGAACGCCCTTCATCAATAGCTCAAACCTGGGGTCGAGTTTGAAAACAATATTTATATTTTTTTCTTTTTCCTCTACTTTGTTCTCTTGAAGGAGGGATTTGGCAATGCGACTAAGACTGAATTCAAGGTCAGTGATCGTTTGTTTCACCGTCGATAAATCGTCGGCGATGGAAACTAATTTCTCCTGCTGTTTTGGTACTCGATCAGCAAGCGGGTGAAAATCCATAAGGTAATCCTCTTTTGGAAGAATTCTATTAATTACTTCATAGGGATAAGGCCGTGGCGCAGCTGGTGAAATTTGTTTCGGTTCAGGAATGTATTCTTGTTGGAATTGCGAATATGGCTCATTTGAATATGGTTTGTTATCTTTTGATAATACATTTCCGGCGATTGAATCTTCGAATGGTGGCAGTAAATGACGTGCTGACACAAAGAGAAAAGTTATTAAATAATTTCGGCACATGTACATATTTTTGATCAGCTCAACTCTTACCTGGCTCCTCGATACCCATTAGTGTTCTTAAGATTTTTGGTATATCTTCATATTCTCCTGTTCCACACACTCGCACAGTTTGCTGGGGTGAGAGAGGATCAGTAGTCCTTATTGGATAGTCCTGACAGTAAGCATTACTTGCTGTTACGCCCAGCAAGCATATTAGAGCAATTTTAACAAACATTTCTCAAAAAAAAAAATATTGCGATTTCTAAAGTAGTTTTCTATTCGAGCTTAGTTGACAAATCAGACTGCTTAGACAAATCCAGCAGCGAGTGTCTTTAAGTCACCCTTAATTAATCATAACACAGGTCTTTCCAAGTTCAATAGCTGATAAGACGTAAGGAAAATAAACACAATCGTTTTATTTAGGTACATATATATTTTAATTTGCTAATCTTCAAATTCCTTATCATATACAAATTTTTAAAAGACAAATATAATGATGTACATACATACATTTGTTTTCAAACTTTATTAAAACTAGAACTTAGTATTTCAGTCTCTCATACTAAATATGTATATTTCCATATATATTCACGGTGCCAAGATTTCTGTGGCCAAAAATCGGGACATTTCTAAAGCACCGAATCCGAACATTAAATTTTGTTTTTAGAATAAAAAGGCTTAATAAAGTTTTATTTAAAACAAAGAAAAGAGATACAAATTTAAAAATGTTTATTATTTTTTATAAAACTATAGCTTACTATGTAAAACAAAACATGTAAATCAAAATTTGTAGAACATTTATAAAAATTCGGCGAATTTGAATAAATCGGTAAGTCCTAGCTACTAAAAACTTGCACCTTGAATTGAATAGGTTACAAAACTGCATACTCAGAATGTTTCTAAGTAATCTAATTAAAAAGCTCAAAATTTTTATGAAACTTTGCGGAATTTTGCTAACTTTTTACAAAGTTTCAAATTCTTACTTACATTGTGTTTGTTAGAAACCGAGCCACACTTTCATAAAAATTAATAAACATTCAATAATCGAAAGGGGAATAGCCAAAGAAAGCTAAAATGTCTCTTCCCTAATTATATTTTCGATACTCTATCTACAGCTTATGGTTTTCATATCTACGATTTTTTTGATGGTATTAGTATTATTTTTTATAATTTCATTAATTATATTATTATATTGTTGATAAGGATGCTGGCTATGTTAATGGCTCACTTATATTCTATGTCCTTTGTGATAACGAAAAATGGTTTTATGTCCAGAGTACAGGGAGTGTTCATAAATGAATAAACAAAATACTGAAAATCGGGAAAAATCGGTACAAATATAAAAAATCGGGACAATTATACGTCCCAACTTTTAAAAAATATTCAGCGGGACAATTTTCTCAAAATCGGTACAGTCCCGCCAAAATCGGCACGAATGGTCACCGTATATATACATATGTATGTTTTAGTGCTTTAGTAAAAAGGGTGGACCAAAATTTACTCACGAATTGAATTAAATAGAATAAATAGTGTTTTTAATTGTATATTTTTATTTAAACATAAAGACCACGGCGGCGAGTGCTTAAAGGTGTGCACTAACATTCGGTAGGTTCAGGGTTCGATCCTTGGTCCGAGCGACATCAAGTTTTTTCTAAGGCGGACGGCGCACAGTGGGGCAAAAAAGGTTGCTGTGGACAAATTAATTTTGAGAGCCCAAATATGAACCGATTTAAAGTTTCTTTTTTAATAAGAGATAATTAAATTTCGCGTCGATCTATCCGTGGCGAAATTTTGGACATCGACTCCAGACTATCTAAGGATGATTATAGATCAACAATGATACAAGAGGGTGCACCCATACAAACTGAAGTTTTCACAAAACATATCTCTGGAAGTATTCATCGTCGAGTGATGCAATTCACCGCCCAATTCTGTGTTTTCTTGATAAATTTTTTGTAAAGAAATTTTATCAAGATTTTTATCAAGTAAAAGCCTTCTGTGTCAATATTTATAAAACAAAAAGCTCTACAATTTCCACATGAGTGGAACTGATTTCATGGTCACATATGAAAAATATGAATTTAAAAGCAAAAAAGCTTTTGACTGCCGTAGTCGGGTAGGTAAAGATGTCGACTATAATTCCGTGTGTCGCAGGTTCAAATGCCGTCACATGAGTATTTAATTGTTAGAAACAAATTTATGAATATACAAAATTTATACATTTCACATGAAATTTCAATTTGTCAATAGCATTTTCAATCTTGATAATTTATCAAGAAAAGAGCTTTTGATTTATGTGCTAGAATACCAATTCTTGATTAATAATAAAAAATTTACAAATTATAAAGATTTTCAATTTATCAAGTTCACAGAATCGGGCTGATAATCTCAACGCCAAACTTATGGAAAAAATTGGAGTTATTGAAAAAGGGGGCACCTCCCATACAAACTGAATTTCTCACACCACATACACATTTTATATCGAAATTATTCTTCTTCTGTTATCATCCCTTGAGGGTCTAGAGTCGAGGTCTAAAATTTCAAAAATATCGGTACAGCTGTTCTAGAAGTTTTTCGATTAGAAAAAACGGCTTTCAAAATATATATCAGTATATATAGCCGAATTCATGTAAGGTGATAACAGGAGTACAAAAATAAAAATTAATAATAATGATAGATTGGCGCTTACACATAGTATATTATTGATTGACCGAGTTTCTCCTCCGATTTGTGTAGTGCGCTGAGCCGTCGAGGGAAAACTCGGACAATAACCACGCCCACATCCCATATAACGGTAATTTCGAGAAATACAAAATCTTCGATAAATCAGTAAATATTGAAGCTAATTTATTCAAAATTGATGGTTGCAACAATTTTTTACCAAGAAATATGCTTATGATACAATTTTGGAAAATGGGCGCGGCACCGCCCACTTATGATCACATATATGTATCTCGCTAACCGTTCTAGCAATTTGAACCAAACTCGGTATGGTTATTGTGCTTGGCACATATAAGCACAACGTTGAAAATTATTGAAATCGGACTAAAATTACGACCGCTTTTCATATAACGGTATATTTCAGATGCTTGAAACTGCAATATTTCGAAATTTAAGGACGCTAATTTACTTAAAATTTATACACCCCGGCTTATCATGTAGCGGTAGCTTTCGGAAAGGTGGAAAACATATATTTAAGAATTGCGCCGGGTATTTAATGTTCGGCTCCGCCCGAACTTTGACTTTTTACTTGTTTAAACTATAATTTATTCGCATTATACTTGCTCCTGTTCGTCTGCCTTGTATTACTTTGAAGGTAATAAAAAAAAGTATTCGAAATGAAATGAAATAATGAAAATAAATTCGGTAGCGTTTTTTAATGTAATGTCCTAAATATCAAAAAGTTTTTGGCGCGGAATCCACCAGGCTAAAAAATGGAAAAATCTGGTTTTCTTCGACCATTTTCGGCCTTCGCCACAATAAAATAAAGCAGTTTCCTATACTCTTCATTATCCTTGTGTTTTCGGTGCAAAACTATTTGTAACGTAAGACTTTTTTACTGAACGAATTTTGATGCAAAACTATTTTTTATTCGTTTAGAGATAGGGCTCATTTTAAAGCAACACTGTAAGCTAAATATTCAACGTGCTGTTGACCCATAGTTAAAATTTATATTCTTTCTAACTCAGTCTAGTCAAAAAATAAAAATAATGGAATTGAATACACAAAAATTCATTCCCACATCATTCTTAAATGTTCTTTTACATATTAACTTCGGGAGACCAAGCTGAGGAAAGCAGTTGGCACATTTTTGTTTCTTTTCGGTGCTGGGCCATTTGATAACTTCAAGCCTCAATCCGCTTACATTGTCACCCTATCAATTAATTCTCGCGATTAAAATACTTCCAAAAATTTTTAAGGGAATTATTTTTCCCGTTTTGAATTACAGTTGGGACTGATCTTTTTTGCCAAAAATTCGAAAAAAAGCATAGAATTGGTGTAATTAAAATTTGCAAAACTTACTGGAACCGTTTTCGCTAATCAGCAGCTAAGCTTAGCCGGATTTGCAAGCAAGCACTTTTTATTCGATAACATTTAAGAGATCAATTCAATTCTGAATGAGGGTTTAATTTGAACATGAATCCCACTTCCATGAATGCGAGATTAAAATACTTTCGAAAATTTTCATTGAAATTATTTTTCCCGCTTTGAATTATAGCTTGGAGAAATCTTTTTGCCAAAAGTTCAAAAAAAGCAAGCTTGTTTTGTGTTGATTGACAACAACAACAGCTAAGCTCAGTCGGATTTGCAAGTAAGTAATATTTATTCGCAATCATATACAATATTACTTCCACCATAATTTAATTTGAACATTTATAAAATTCTCCGAATTCCATTATTATTAAAATATTTTCTTCTATGAACAATACACAGATGAACAATTTGAGTATCCATCTTAAGTGACAAAACTACCGATAAATGAAAAAAATTATAAATTTGCATGGAAATTTTTATTTATTTTTTTTTTTAGGTTATCACTCTTATTGCGTTTTCCGGCAATTTATCACTTTAGATGAATACCCACTATATAAATTAAACTTTTATTGACTTTTTTTGTAACATGCATGTAAAAAAACATATACATATGTAGCTTTCTTAACGCTCATAACGCACTATGGGCAAAAGGTCATTGATTTATTTCAACCATAACAATAAAGAATGTTGACATTCGTACTATTTTTCCTTTAATCGACACAACCCGAACTTTATTAAAATTGTTGGGCTATTTTTTTTTGTCCTCTTTATATTAGATTTTAAACAAAATAATGCCATTTAGCCCATTGTGTGACGCTGGTCGTACATACCCGTATTAATTTCACGTACGTATATCTCGCTACGCAACGACGCCGCATTTGGTACATGAACGGAAGGAGTAAAGGGGGTTGTGCTTCCAATTGTCTAAACGCTCAAATATGTAGTATTTAAAAAAACGCCAAAACGCCAAATGTATTTGTATCTACTTGGTTTAGTAAGCGGCCCTTCTACGGGTAGCCGGCAGGAAAGGTACGTAAAAAAATTACTTACCTATGTTAAAAACGAAATGTTATATTTATACATGTTTTACAGAATATTGCTGTTATGAATATGTATTCAATATTGCCAGCCACGTTTTGTTGTCGCCTGAGTTCTAAATAATTCACTAATAGATAAAAACATACATTTAAATTGAATGGGTCGTTTGTTCTTTGTATGTTACTCATATGCCATGTATCCAGGCTTTTGAACAAACTTATGGCGTCTGGCGGAACTTACAGCCGACGGAAAGTGTCGGCAATATTAGATATC